ACAGGCTCAATCCTTCCTGGGGCCCAGGCTCTGCACTCCCCGACCTTTCTCCAGGCCACGCCCGCCCCAACCCCTGCCCCCTCCAAGATTCAAGAGCCTCTCAAACCTCGGAGGACTGGGTCACCACCAAGCAGTGCCCCACCCCTCCTCCCTCTCTGCCAGACATCACCCATCCTCAGGCGGGGGCCACAGGGTGGAGCCTTAAGCCCTGCCCACCTTCTTAGGCCCCGCCCGCTCTGACTCAGGCCCTGCCCACCCCAGTAGGTCTTGTTCCTAAGCTCCACCTTTTCCCTGGGTGTAGGCTCCGCCCCTGAACTTTCGCTAATGCCTGCCCACCCTGACTCAGACCCCACCCACTCTGGCTCAGGTCCCGCCCACTTAGGCAGACCCTGTTTCCTAGGCTCCACTCTTTCCCAGGGTATAGGCTCCGCCCCAGTTTTCACACCAGCCCCGCCCACCCTGGCTCAGGCCCCACCCACCCTGGCTCAGGCCCCGCCCACCCCGCCCAGGCCCCGCCCACCCCGCTCAGGTCCTGTCCCCTGGGCAGTTCTCGGTAGGTCTCTGGGCACCTTAGCCCATCTCTGCCCAGCCAGCTCCGCAGCACAGCACCGCAGGCGCGCAATGTCCTTGAGGTGGATGCTTCCTCTGCCCTAAGCCCTCTCAGAGTTAATCCTGTGAGGCGCTAGGCGCTCCTTTCCAGAACAACAGTTCTGAGTGCACAAGATGAGCTCCCGGGTTACAAAGGCCACCAAGGCTCTTCGTAGTCCTTTCAGCAGAGAGGGCTCAGACGCCCTGGGGCAGACACCGCCCGCTGGGGATCAGGCGGGTGCACTCATCCACCCACCTCCCATCACATGGGGAAGAGGAGGGCTCCTCCTCCCGGCACGTAGGTGCCCCCTCACGACCACGAGACCCAAGGTCTGTGTGGTCTGGTCTTGGGGGTCCTCTCCAGCTCACAGTCCCCCTCCATACCCCCCTGCTCCTGCCAGCAGCCCCTCTTGCTGCCCCTACCGTGTCCCCCCACTCCCGCCAGCAGGCGCTCCCTTTACTTCCCAGGGACCCTCTGGGCTCAGCCTCTGACCTTCCCAGGCCCTCGGCTGTCACTGCCTGTCCAGGGAGACTTGTCCTGGGGACCCAGGGAAACGCAGCTCTCTGTGGGGTGGTCCAGCAAGGGCAGCTCCCTTTGGGGGTCTCTCAGAAGCCTGCTCCCCTGAGTGGACCTCTACCTCCCGCCTCACTTGATCCCCGATCACTCGGGACCCACAGTCCCAAGCCTGCTGGCTGCCTCCCGCAGCCTCACCGACAGCAGGAAATGCAGCTCCTCCGTCGTGGGGTTCTGCAGGATGAAACTCTGCAGCATCTTGTCCAGGGCATTCATTGTGTCCTTGTAGAGAGACTGGCGGGCATGGCAGGGCCTCAGTGCTTGCCCTTCGGCCTGCTCTGTGATGTCCTTCCTGGTTTCTGGCAGGGACCCACGTCACGCTGCCCCGGCTCTAACATGATGCCACTGGCGGCAAGCTGCACCACAGATGGGCCGACGCCTGGGCGGGCAGGAGAGCACAGGGCCCAGGGTGCCTCTGAGGGCATACCAGCTCTCCCAGCTGCCCGGCCGCGGTCCCCTGACACGGGGGGTGGGCCAGCGCCATCTGCCAGGGGAGGCGGGCATTGCATGAGCAGCTACAGGGCCTGGTGCCTGCCATACAAGCTCCATGGGGAGCCTGTCCGCAGGCTGTCTTCTTTGGAAACGGGGTCCTCGGCACTTCTGTGGGGTTTAGGCTGTGGGAACAACCACCCTAGGCAGGGCTGCTGCCCTGATGTTCCTGGCCCAGGGGCCTGCTCCAAAGTGCCCTTTCATCAGGGTGAGGGGCAAGGAGAGCCCAGTGGGGCGGGCTCCCAGCAGATCCCCATTTCTGGGGGCTGAGCTAGGAGCAGACTCGAGCGGTGCACCTCCTCTTCCCTGGGGACGCGGGTGGTGCTCCCCAACCCCCTGCCCTGGAGCTGGGCCCAGGAGCCCTCATCTCCAGGACTTCCAAGAAGCAGAGCCTCTGGCCCTGCGCCCACCTGTATGTTGGGCGGCTCCAGGAAGAGGCACAGGTGCTTCTCCAGGACGTCGGGGAGCGGCAGCGCCAGGACGCTTCGTAGACAGCTGTTGAGCAGCCGTGACTTCCTGTCGGCGCCCAGGGCCGGCCTGAAGGCACTGTCGGAGCAGAGGTCGGGCGGGTGGCGGGGGCTGGCCTGTGGACTCCCGGGGCAGGTACGCCCCCGACAGTCACGCCCCCAGCTATTTGGGGGTGAGGGGCTGCTCCTCTGGGCACCCTCCGCGGTTGCATCTTTCTCCCCTGTGTCCTGCCAGCCCTGGACCACGTCTCAGGCTAGTGTTCTGGGGCATCTTGGTCCGTGACCCGCCTGTCTTTCCCTGGACTGCCTTGTGGTAGACGGTGACCCCCGCTGGTCACCCCAATTCCCCCCTGGACGTTGTACTCACTGGCAGGGCTGGCAGCTCTGGCCAGATGGGAGCCCCACCGGCTCCCACCACTCCAGACCCTGCTCCTGGAACCCCTTGTCTCCTGGTGGCACCATCCACGCCCCACGCAGGATCCAGATTCTTCTTGCAACAGCCCCTGCACCTCAGCCCCCTCCCTCTGTGCCAGGGTTCCTGTGCCCAGCCCTCCCCCCTGCACTCTGCAGGTCAGTAGACAACCCCCCTGTACTGCCTTCAGGTCAGCTGTTTGGGAGAGGATACACCCCCAATGCACTGTCCCACATCAAACTCCCATTCCCACCCCACGGTGGTCCCCCCTGCTGCGCTGGCCTGCTGGGTGCTGCAGAAGCGGCTGGCCTGGCCCTACCAGAGGCTGGAGATGATGTGCAGGGCCTGCTGGCGGTTGGTGGTGCACAGAAAGTCGGGGGGCTCCTTCTCCATCAGGATCTGCGTGGTGGGGTGAGCGGGCCCCCACCTCTCACTCAAACCAGCTCTCGGCACCCTCAGGGCCTCCCCCACCCTGCAACTCTGATCAGCCTCCAGCTCCTCACCCAGGCAGGGGGCTGCTGCAGTTGGACTCGAGCCAGGCAGTGGGGCCACGGGGCCACGGGGTCACGGGGTGCCCCTTGTTCTGGCCGATGGTCTGGGCCAAGCTCAGAGCTCTGAGCCTCCCTCTGCTTCGGTAATGTGGCAGTGGCTGTCCACCCCGATGGAGCAGGGGAATGATACAGTGGGCACTGCTGGGGGTGCGGTCCTCCCCCTGCTGCCAACCCCAAACCTCTCTGAGGCGGGGAGGTACCTGCTGGGCCTTGGCAGTCCCCTATGAAGCGGTCACGTGACTGGCCATGTGTCTCGGTGCCAGGACTTCGCCGGGACAGGGAGGTGGCACAAGTAATCTGTGTGCCCTGGGTGGGCATGCCCGCTGCCCACCTCACCTTGCGCCCTGCTGCCTGCCCTGCCCCTCACTCGCTCACCGCCAGGCAGTCCAGCAGTGTGGGCAGCTGCGCGAACTCGTAGCTCTGTGCGCCCTCGTTGCGGCTGATGGCGCCCACCAGCATGACAATCGAGGAGAGGAAGCTCTGCTTTAAGGTGTCGTCCTGAGCGGGGATGTGGGCGGGGGGCAGGGACGGGCAGTGAGGAGGTGGGCCTGCTGCCCGCCGGGACTCTTCTGGGGGGCACAGTGAGCCCTAGCAGAGCAGCTCTGCTTGCAAAGGTCTGTGAAGCTCGCACTTGCATGGGCAAAGGAGTGGGGGGGTCAGCGTGAGTGGCGGCCCCACATGGATGGGCTGTTCAGGGAGCCCTGGGTGGGTTGGGGGGCTGGGATTCCGATTCCTGCACATCCCCCCCCCCCGCCCCCAGTGAGGCGCGGGTCCTCTGGCGGCCAGTCGTACCCAGGCACTGTAGTGAAAGTAGAAGATCATCCGAGACAGGATGTTGTCCACCCACGGCAGGATGTGCGCCTTGGCCTTGGCCGCCATCTGCCCGTAGGACAGCAGGATGGTGCAGCTGGCCCACTTCCAGTGCAGCTCCTCCGAGCTCTGTGGGACGGGGCAGCCTGCTCAGCCTGGCACCCCTCTGCACCCATATAGCCCGCGGCTGGGGCCTGGGAGGGTTTCCATCCACCTGGAGGCGCCGTTGGGTAGAGCCCTGGGGAGTGGGGTCGAGGGGCCTCCAGATGTCCCAGAATGTCCTTTGGGGCATTAGTGGGACCAGTGATGAGGGTTTGGGACGTGGGTCCCCGTCCTTGATGGGAGAGATCAGTGGTTCAGGATAAAGGGGGAAACTGAGGCAGGGGGTTACTCCAGGAGGGAGAAGGTGTGGGCCTGGCCCCGACCCCCCCCCCCCACCCCCTACAGGGCTGCTGCTCACTGGTGCCACTCCCAAGGCAGCCACACATACCCATCTGCCTGCTGGGGTCCCTCCACACCTCCAGCCCCACCTCACGACTGACACAGGCCCCACCCCTCCCTCCCACCCACCCACCATGGCTCAGGCCCCGCCTCCAGGCGCCCCCACCTTCATGGGGAAGCCATGTAGACAACATCTGATGGGCTTGCTTCGGCCAAACTGCTCCAGGACGGCCCATACGTGGTCCAGGTGGCGGACAGAAGCCAGCCCCACAGTGAGTGCCATGCCCTAGGGTTACAGGTGGGGTCATGGTTGGGGTCAGGATCAGACCTGACCCCCCCCCCCCCCAACAAGGTGCCTCCGGCAACTGCTTCCTATCCAGGTGGGTTGGGACGAGGAGCCTGGAGCAGTGCCGTGGACACCTCTCCTAGGGTGTGGAGGTGCAGGGTCAGTGTGCCCCGGGTCAGTGTTGGTGAGCAGAGCCGGCAGTCCCTGCTCTGGGCGGCACCGCCTCACCTCCCTCTGCTTGGCCCACTGGTGTGATGTCTCCAGCAGGCGTTGCAGGTGGCTGCGCACTGTGCTGCTCTCCTGCTCAGCTTGCAGGATCAGTCCGTAGTAGATGAACAGGAAAACCTGGGGGACACGGTGTGACCAGCCATCCCTTCCGGCCACCTTGGCCTGTGTCTCCCCTACCATGGGCACCTCCTCTGAGTCCCCACATCTGGCTGCCGGAGAGCACCTAGTTTGGCCTGTGTCCCCCTGGGGCCCCCTGGACGTGGCAGGGGGCTGCATACCTTCTCGGGGGGCTGCTCCTGATGTGTGTGGTGAGGCTTCGTGAGGGCTCCCAGCAGCTCCCGGCACCAGTTTTCCATTCGCAGGAACTGGACCGAGCTGTCAGCCATCTGTCAGCAGAGGGCAGCATGCAGGCTGCAGCCACTGCCTCCTCCACTCAGTGTGGCCTCACCCACCCGCGCCACCCGCCCGTCTCCTGCTCTCAGCTCACCGCCAGCCCCTTCTCTGGGGGGCATTCAGGGAGGGGGTGCTTGGGGAGGCTGACCCCACTCCCATCTGGGCAGAGCCCGGGGGAGCCTGAAGCACACGTCCACTCAGAGTGGGGGTTGGGGCGCAGGTTACCTCCTGTGCGCGATTACTTTTCTGTTCTGTTTCTGGTCTTTGCTCAGAGGGTCATTCCAGCTCAGTACATGAGGGGGTCACTCCCGGTGGTGCTTGGGGGACCCAGGCAGTGTCAGGATCTAACGTGGGGTTCCCCCATTCAAAGCGTGTGCTCCAACACTTTGGATCATCTCCCTGCCCGTTAATCCACTGTCCACTGTCCTCCCGTTGTTCATCGATTTGCTCGAGCGGGCCCAGTAACGTCTCCATTGTGAGACTTCTTGTTACTGTGTTTGGCATATCAAATACGTCATGGGGAGCTTGCCAGGCTTTGCCGTGCGGGCTATATCCTCTCGGTAGCTTGCCGGGCTCTCTGAGAGGGGCGGAGGAATTGAACCTGGGTCGGTCGGGTCGGCCGCATGCAAGGCAAACGCCCTACCGCTGCCCATTAGTATGTTTTGAAAATGAATAGAGGAGATCAGATGAATGAAATGTCTTTTGGGAACATTAAGCCCTAACATCCCGCCTGATACCATGATTTTGTAACAGTGACTTCGAGGCTTCTCCAATGTTCTGAGTCCAGTGTGTACCTCTCGTAAGGCTTTGGGTCCTGGGTTTCTTTGGAGGGGGCCGGGCAAGTCTTTAGATGCCCCGCTGAGTGTGGCCCCACACCCAAATGCTTTTTTCTGCGGAAGCAGGAGCCACCTTTCCAGAAGTGCCTCAGCAAATGCCCGTCATACAGGCTGGAAGATGCAGGAGTTTGAGTTCCATGTTTGATTCCCACCTGCCACCAATCTAAGATCTGTGCTGAAGGAAGAGTGCGTCATAAACTGAGGAGGCAGCCCTGTGGCTAGAACACCATGCCAGGACAGTGGCAGGAGTGAAAATCATGGTCATGAGTCATTCTAGCCAAGAGTGACAAAAAGTAAAACGTTAGGTGCCTTTTGGTGGTATTAATGAGCGAATGGAGCTGGAGTGATAGCACAGCGGTAGGGCATTTGCCTTGCGCGCAGCTGGCCAGGCCAAGCCGGGTTCAATTCCTCTGCCCCTCTCAGAGAGCCCGGCAAGCTACCGAGAGTATCCCGCCCGCATGGCAAAGCCTGGCAAGGACCCCATGACATATTCGATATGCCAAACACAGTTAAGTCTCACGATGGAGACATTACTGGGCCCGCTCGAGCAAATCAATGAACAACGGGAGGACCGTGACCATGACCGAATGAGCGAATGAAAGGTGTGGACGAATGAAAGGTTTCTCCAAGCGATTCCATCACTGGGACCAGCTGAGAAGCAGTGAGATGGGTAAGACAGAGCCCAGGAGGCTTTGGCCGGGCTGTGCCGAAGGCCAGCTCGGAGTGCTCCCTGCAGTGGGCTTCTGCTCCCTCTCCAGGGGCTTCTGCCTCCCATGGCAGAAGCAGGAGGTGCTCGTTGGGGAGAGGGAGGCGGCTAAGCATGGTGGCACTGGCTGCAGATTTCCCGTCTCTGGGGCAAATGTCTTCAGGTGCTGAGTGACACGTCCTAAGGTAATGTCACCTCACCACGCCCACATGCATTCCGTAACATCCCGGGGGTCTCAGGTGCCCGTGTGCCAGGTGCTCATCTTTGTTCTGCTTTTTGCTCAGGCTCTGCCAGAGTCGGCCTCTGCTTGCTCTCTCAGGTGGGCCGTTTGTGATTTCTTTGCTCAGCAGAAGCAGCACGTGCTGCCTTCTCAGACGTATCATCCTGAATCTTTGCTCTGTGACGCTGCGCCCCTCCCCACCCTCCACTGGTCTCGTTGACTGAGCAGATGCTTTGATTTTCATGGATTCTAATCATCTATTTCCCCCGCTCTTTTGGGGACCAGCACTTTGAGTTCTAAGGAATATCTGTCTCTCCTGAGGCCACAAGTCTCCGTGGGGATTGTCTGGAAATCTTTTTGTCGTTTTTGCTCTTCTCTTTAGGTCTTGTTGCCTAAACATCTTAGATTAATTTCTCTGAAGGGCTTGATGTTATCAAAGGTTCTCCTCCTCCACTTAAAGATGTGCTCATGTTGCTGAACTATTTCTCCCAAAGTCTTTGCTTTTTCGAGTAAATCATTTTGGCAATTTTGTTCAATAAAACTGGCCTGGATCTGTGAGAGTCCTGATCTACTCCATTGCGTTTGTAGGCAGTGATACTCTCTTGCTGACTGTTGCTGTATAATAACCCTTATAAAATAAAGGTGGTACTATTCCTTTTCCAAATTTAATTTTTTTGTTTTTGGGCCACACCCGGCAGTGCTTGGGGCTGACTCCTGGCTCTGCACTCAGGGATCACTCCTGGCAGTGCTTGGGGTACTATACAGGAGACTGCGGATTGAACCCATGTTGGCCAGGGCAAGGTAAATGCCCTACATGCTGTAGTATTGCTCAGCCCCCATAACTTACTTAATTTTTAATAAAATTATTTTTATTGAAATAATGTCTGCTTACAGAACTATGCTTTCAGGATACGATTTTATATCTCTTCGAAATACAGGTTTTCACATAGCACCCACCTTTCAAAGTGCCAATATCCCTCCGCCAATCAACGGGCCGCCTCCCTCCTTCGACCCCATTAGACTTCTGCCTCTGTTAATATCATGTGTGTGGGCAGAATACAAGGTTTATTTTCTTTGCCTTTGTTGCCTGGCTTTGTTCTCTTAAGGGCAGTATGATGCTTGTGACTTTGTTCTTTTCCAAGATTATTTTGGCTATTATAGTTCTTTCAAATTTCCAGATACAATTTTAATTTTCAGATTATACTACATTCTATAATAAAGCCTGCTGGGATTTTGATAGGCATCTCATGAAACCTACACATCATTTTGGGGAGAATGGGCACCTTCTTAAACATAATAGATTCCCTGTTTAGTCTAATTTCTTTGGCAATTTTTGGTAAAGATCTTGCACAAAATGTGTTCAATTTGTCTTTGAGCCTTTTGTGTTTTCCTGCAGCTAGGTCATCTTGTCAAGCACTTCATTTTCCAATCACTCACTGTTGGCTTCTGGGAATTGGATGGGCTTTTGTGTATTGCTCTTGTATCCCGAAAACGTGCCAAATTCAATGATTAGTCATGAACAATTCTAGAATTTTTAGAGATGCTGCATGATTTTCTTTGTAGTCAGTCCCGGTGACTGCCCAGACTGACATTTCCGTTCACAGTCAGCCTGTCTTCGCCCGCTTTCTTTGTGACACCGAGCACACTGGCTTGGGGGCTTGAATCGGTCCCTCTGCCTGATGCTCAAACTCTGTAGACATGCTGAGCTATGACTTTTCAGACATCAGCTTCTTTCTCCCCCTTAAATTGGCAGCTGTTCTCATTGTGATATTGGGATTGGTACTGAGGAATAAATATACTTGTTTTTGTTCCAGGTTCTGACCAGCGCTCCTACCCACTCGGCCCTTTCTAAGTGACTAGAGCTACAAAGGTGTCCGTATTCGTCACATGCCTCTTCCAACCACCTACAAGTGTGTACCGATGAGGTGGCTTTGGAAGGCGGCCTGTCTTCCATCTGGCTGATTGTGAGTTATATCCTTTTTATAATAAACTGGTAATTGACTAAGTAAACTCCTTTCCTGGGTTCTGGGAGCTGCTCTCAGGAATAAATCAAACCTAAGGGAACCTACGATTTATTATCCAGACTTGCTCTGGGCCAATGTCCTCTGCTGATTGGAGGCAAGGAGGAAGGTGCCCTCAAAGGGCAACAGGACAAGCCCATGGGGATCATGTGTGTCTCGGTGGTGACTTCTGTGAGATGCTCTCTCCATGGAGACGGTCATGGGCTTTACACTTGGTTCCACGGGTGTGTCAAATTCTATAATTGCTTTTCAAAGGTTATGGGATTCCACTTGCCCCCGGAGTGGCCTCACTCAAGCAGAGGGTGACCCAGTCTGTGCACCAGGAGTCTTGGTCACCAACATTGAGCTGTCTGAGCTGGATTCAGGGTGTTGAGCTCCTGGGGTTTCTGTCTCTCCTCCACGCAGGTAGTTTTCTGCCCCCTTCCTGTAGTACCTGCCTGGGTTTGGCATGAGGGATGTGCTGGCCTCACACGGGATTTGAAAGGTTCCTTTTCCTCTGCTCCCTGAGGGAACGTGTGTAGCATTGCCATTATTCCTTAACTCCGATAGCATTGACTAGAGCAGTACTGAGGCTGGGTACTCTTTGTGGAGAGATTCTAAGCCCAATTCCAACCCCAAGATTATGATGATTTTCAATCTCTGGTGTAGTTTGGAAGCTGTGGCTCTCAGGGAATCTGAGCTGTCTATTGCAATTGGGATTCCAGTTCCTCCTTATTGTTCCAGCCCATAACTCTTCTCTGATGCCAGTGTCTCACGTGTTTTCAGTCTATCAGGGATGATGACCATTTTAACTAGAGTCTATTCTCTCTCCAAGCAAGAAAATTGTCATTTAGAAAAAGTTCTTCCCTTCTGCTTACTTTGGTAATCATTTTCTTTCGGGGGGGATATTTTTGCCGAAAAAAAAAAAAAGGAGCAAAGAGAAGATCTTTATTCTGTCTTGGAGACAATGACAGTGTCCTTATAAACACTGCTCTTGGTACCGGATTCGCATAGTTCCCGATGTTCTGTGCTAAGTGTCAGTCTGTGTAAAGTATTTTCTAATTTCCCTCATGATTTCTGCATTGATCCCTGGGTTCTTTAGGATCAAAGCTGTCTCACTTCCAAATACCTGATGTTTTTCCAGGTGTATTTTTGATATTGATTTCTAATTTACGTTCTAGTAAGGGAATGCGCTGGCTTTGATCAGTCCTTTTAAATGTACGGAAGGGCTGATATATAGCCCAGCAAATCATCCATCTTGGTGAATGTCCTATTTACATTAGGAAGGAATGTCAGCGCGATCCATTTGGCTAATTGCATTGTTCGAGTCTGTTCTACATCCTAGTGATTTCCTGTCTCATTTTTCTATTCATTGCGTCGCTGCTGCTGTGGGCATCATCTCTCCCACTTGCTGCTCAGCAAGGCCGCTGCTGCCTGGATACAGCAGCGACCCCTGACATTTGGTGCTTCCTGTGCTGCAGGCACCGTGCCAGGTCCCTCCTACAGGCCCTTTCCTGGCAGACTCACAGCAGACGCTAGCGAGGGCCTCGAGCTACCTGCTGGATGACGACAGAGGCCCAGAGAACCGTGCTGGTCGCTGCAGGCCACGACCACTGGGATGAACCCTGGTCTGCCGGGCCTCTCCTCCCAGGAAGGCCCTCTCTCAGATGTGTGGTCGGAGGCACAGGCGGAGTGTCCGTGACCCTGCCTCCACCCTCTGCACCTCCTCTGATCCCGAGAGAGACCCTGATGGGGTGAAGGCAACATGTCGGTGGCAGGGCCTTGCTCTGTGCTGGGGTCAGAGTGAGGCTTGAACCTCACACCCTTGACAAGTGCTGGATCCCCCCTTCTCTTAAAGCAGCCTGTGCTCCCTCTGACCCGTAGCCCCACAGTGCCCACCTCTGCGGGCGCCCCTGCATCTCTCCTACCTTCATCAGCTGCTCTTCCCAGCAGGTCTTCTCTTCCCTGTTGAAGAGCTCGTCTGCCGGGAGAGGGGGCCTGAGGCCAGGCCAGCTTTGGCCTGTACCCCCCCCCCCCCAACCACTGGGCTCCGGTTTCGTCAGTCCCAATGCCCAGTTTCACACTTCATGGGTGCAGTGAGATTGGGGTCCAGAGAGCTTCCCTTTGGGGTTTAGGATGGTCACGGCCCCTCTCTGGGCTCTTGCTCCCAATGGTGAAGGGTGGGGTGGCCCCAGGCATGGACCTGGGGGACGAAGAGGGGTCTTGGGACAGGGGTGTGCAGAGAGAATGAGTGGGAGCTGGAAATTCAACTGCAGAGCCAGGGGCTGCTTTGAAGGAGCTCTGGAAGGGGCCGTGCCCATCCTGCCAGTTCCCTGTGAGATCTCACAGCACAGCGAGCAGGGACCTGCCTCCTTGAGCCTGAGTGTAGGCTCCAAGCAGGGAACAAAGGTCTCCCACCCAGACTGAAACCCTGAGGAGACACACACACACACACACACACACACACACACAACACACACACACACAAACTCCTACTCATCCCTCATGGACCTGGCTCAGACTCAGGTGCCTCCTTCAGGAAGCCCTTCCTGCCGACCACCAGAGCAGAGCCCAGCACCGGCTTGGGAGTGAGAAATAGGGGAAAGGGGCTGTGAGCCCCTAAAGACTCACACAGGCCTCAGCAGAGCTTCCGGAGGGAGCCTTACGCTGGAGACACACTCAGGTCCCCTCTCTGGCACTCAGAGACCTCAGGAGGTCTTTCCCATAGCTTGTAGGCAGCTGTTGGAGGCGGGGGGGGGGGGGAAGCTCTGCTCCTTCCCCAGGACTGAGCCGCTGCCTCTGGGGGATGCTACCCTGCGGTGTGCCCCAGTGCCGTGGCCCCTCCTTTCTCCTGCAGGTTCTTCCAGTTGCAACTGACACGACCCCAAACTACCGTCGCTCAGTTGCAGAGACCCTGCTGCAGGCGTGTGGGTAGTGGGGCAGGCGGGGTGGGGAGCCAGGGAGCTCTGGTAGGTTGTGGGGTGTGCCCTGTGCCCAGGACCCACCAGGCAGCCCTACCCACGGAGGACAGGATGCCCAGCACGTAGAGCAGGCTTCGGTGCGGGAAGATGCCCGTCAGCACCTGCGCCTCCAGATGCCCGACCACCCGCTGCCACGAGTGCCTGCAGATGGCCACCAGCACGTTGCCCGCCGCGTCCTGGTACGTCTCTTCCAGCTCCTGGGGGAGGGGGGTGAAATGTAGAGGAGAGTTAGAGACGGGGAGTGGCCGGGCATTATGTGCTGGGCAGAGCAGCGTGAGCGAGCCAGAACTTGGCATAGAAAACCCAGGCCACAAAATACTAAAAAAAAAAAAAAAATTAAAATAAAAAATGTGCTGGACCCATAGTACAGCAGGGGGGGCACTTGCCTTGCACATGATCAACCCAGGTTCCATCCTCGGTATCCCATAGGGTCCCCCCCCCCGACCCAAGTGTGGGACTCCCCCAAATAAACAGAGAGCTCAGGCCAGGAAGTGCCCCCCTGGCTGGAGGAATACTGGGGTCTGGCTCTGAGCTGGGGATGTGGTGTGCCCTGGCTCCCAGAGTTCTGGAAGCCTCGGCATGCCCCCCAAGCCCTGAAGGCTCGAGTCTGCAGGGGCTCCCGTCCCCCCCTTCTGACTCCCCTTCCGCCCCCCTCCCATCCCCCTTTCATCCTTCTTCCTTGTACCCCTCCTGTACCTTGTGTCCTCCAGTTCCCATCTCCCCTCCCACCCTCCAGCTCCTAACCCCTCTCTAATCCTCTGCTCCCACTCCCCCCTCCCGTCCCGTTCCCGTCCCCCACAGGTCATGTGACTGGTGAGGGGGACGCCTCTGGGCCTCTGCAGTCTGCCTGGCACTCAGGGGCGCGGGGCAGCGAGCAGGCGGCCTGCCTTTGTGCCTGGCGCTGTCTCAGCCTATGTGCAGTGATACGTTTGGGAGAAGCAACGAGGAAAGGGGCTGTAAGGATCAAAAGGCCCTTCACAGCCTCTGAGGAACAAAGCTGCCTTAAGACCCCAAAGGGCCGTCGCTCAGGTTCCAGCTTCCCAAGGGAGAGGCTGAGGGAGCCAGTTCTGCCCCTTCCTGGAGCGTGTGAGGGCGCAGATCCTGCCCAGCAGCCTCCTCAAGGCCCCTGTCCCTTGTCCCCTCAGGGCCCACCCAGCCCATCAGGCGGCTCTTCATGCTGGCTTGAGCCCTGGTGCCTGGATGACACGGGGTCCACATGCACAGCCTTAGCTCCCCCCAGTCACGTGCCTGGCCCCGCCCCTGAGTGGACCCCAGTCCCAAGCCCCTCCTGGTCTTCCTACAAAGACAAAGGTGGGGGTCAGCTGGTGACAGGGTGGGGGGCAGAGAGAGGGAGAGAGGAGACAGGAGAGAGAGGGAGGGAGGGAGAAAGAGAAGTAGAGAGAGGAAGAGAGAGGAGGAGAGAGAGTGAGAGAGAAGGGAGAGGGAGGGAGAGAGAGGAGGAGAGGAGAGAGAGGGAGAGAGAGGGAGGGAGAGGGAGGGGGAGAAAGAGAGGAGAGAGGGAGAGAGAGGGTGGGAGAGAGAAAGGAGAGAGGGAGAGAGAGGGAGAGAGAGGGAGAGAGGGAGAGAGAGAGAAAGAGGGAGAGAGAGGAGGGAGAGAATGAGACTATGAGGAAGAGGGAGAGAGAATGTATGTAAGAGAGAGGGATAGAGAGAGGGAGAAAGGGGGAGAGAGGGAGGGAGAGAGGGAGAGAGAAGGAGAGAGAGGGCGAGAGAAAGGAGAGAGGATAGAGGGAGGGAGAGGGAGGGAGGGAGAAAGAGAGAAGGAGAGAGAGAGAGGAGGGAGGGAGAGAATGTATGTAAGAGAGAGGGATAGAGAGAGGGAGAAAGGGAGAGAGAGGGGGCGGGAGAGAGAAGGTGAGAGAGGGAGAGAGATAGGAGAGAGAGGGAGGGAGATGGAGGATGTAGAAAGAGAGGAGAGGGAGAGTAGGAGAGAGGAGGAGAGGGAGGGAGGGAGGGAGAGAGAGAAGGAGAGAGAAGAGGAGAGAGGGAGAGAGAGAGGGAGGGAGAGAGGGAGGGAGAGAGGGGGAGAAGGAGAGGGAGAGAGAGAGAAAGGAGAAAGGAGAGAGGGAGGGAGGGAGGAAGGGAGAGCGAAGGAGAGAGGAGAGAGGGAGAGAATGAGGGTATGAGAGGGAGAGGGAGAGAGAATGTGTGTAAGAGAGAGGGAGAGAAAATGAGGGAGGGAGGGAGGGAGGGAGGGAGAGAATGAGAGTGTCTCAGGTGATGTCCTCTAGTCCATGACGGGCCCAACCCCTGTCCTGCCACTGTCCCCGTCTGCAATGAAACATGCAGCAGGACACAAGGCACAGAGGGCCCTTACCCTGGGCAAGGGGCCCGCGGAGCACTGTGGGCAGTGCCTGCAGCTGGACGCTGTGCCCAGGCGGGCTTGTGAGGCTGGTGGGTGGGCTCTGGCTCTGAGTCCGGGACACAGCCTGACTCTGGCTTCGAGGCTGCTGAGGAAGGTGCCGGCACAGTGGCTCCTCCCTTCAGAACAGGGCCCCTGAGCTGTCCTGTCTCTGGGGGGCTGTGGGTGCAGAGTGGGAGGTGCAGGACCCCAGACCCCCGGGCTCCTGTGAAAGACAGTGCCCCAGGTGGTGAGTGAAGAGGCAGGAGCCCGGGCAGTGCTCCTGTTGGTCGGCAAGGAGCTTGTGCAGGAGTTGGAGTGGGAACTGCTGTGTGACCCCCACACTGGTTTCTGCCCAGGACTAGACAAGCGTGGATGGCAGTGGACTTGTGCTGTCTGCCCAGGGTGAGAGTGCCTGGGTTGCAGGAGCTGGGGGAGTTCCGTGGCCTGCCAGACCCATCGGCAGATACTGGGCACAGATGATGGGCTCGGGGGCTGGGGGTGGGCAAGGGAAGGTGTTGGGGATTAGACAGATAAAGGAGTCAGATGGGATAGTTGTTTAGGAGACCTTTCAACCCAGAACCCTGGCACTGGAGGCAGATGCTGCCCCCCAAGGGGTAGCTTGTAACTGCTTGTCTCCGCTCCCTCTCCTGAAAGTCAGTCCTCGAGAAAGCCCATTGCACAGATGTTTAACCTGGTAAACTGAGGCCCTGGATGTGTAGGAGTCTAACTTGGATAGAGGACAGTCAGACATCTGACCAAAGAGCGTTCTGCTGGCGACTGGCTCTAAGCAATAAACACTGTGTGTGCAGGACAGTCGGGCCCGGCCCCGAGGCTGTGTGCCCCACCCCCCCGCCCCTGCCTCTGCCTCTTCTCTCGCTCTCTCTTAATCCTTGCGGCGTCGCTGCTTCAGGTCTGTCTACTGGGGCTTGTCTCTGGCAGTGGTTGGTATGGGGGTGTGGTGGACATGGGGGGTGGTGGGCCTGGAGGTGGGCACGGGTAGTGGCGGGCATGGGTGACACACTACTCCAAGGGCACCCTCTGCGTCTCTGCCCAGCGGCCTGCCTGACCCTCAGCGAGGGCTCCTGGTCTGTCTAGGTCTGTGCCCCGGATCCTGTGCTGTGGGGTGCGGAGCGCGGCAAACCCGACATCTCCCAGGCAGCCTCACCCAGCTGGCATCTTGGGTGCAAAGGGTTTGTGAAGTTTAAGGAGCTGCCTGAACAGAGCTGAGGGCCCTGCCTCCCAGCTGGACAGCCTGGCGGGTGCCAGAGGGGTGTGGGCTCAAGCCTTCAGCCACAGAGAATAGGCCAGGTCCAGGCTGTGGGATGACGGAACCTTCCAGATCTGGTGGGGTGAGGAAGGGCTGAGGAAGGAGGGGCCGGCTAGGGCCGGCCCAAGGAAAGACCTCGGGGACACTGAGTCCAGGGCAGTGGCCTTAGGCCCCAGGGGCTCCTGGACCTCCACCCATGCTGTGTGGAATGGGTGCACGGGGGATCCCTTGGACACTAGTGGCAGGAAGGCGAGAAGGCGGGGGAACTATCTGGTGACCACCGCAAGGGGGGCACCTGCAGTTTTGGGGCCACTGGGGCAACCCCTGGGAGGAACGCTTGCAGGAAGAGGAGCCCCACCGTGGACTTGGTCATGTTGTCGAGGGCCAGCTGCATGAAGGTCTTCTCCCAGATGTCCTCCAGGGAGTCACTGGCCTCGATGACACTTTCCAGGACATGGAACAGCCTGAACTTATGCCGGGTGGAGATCTGTGGGTGACAGAGTGACAAGATAACAGAGTGACAGGGCGACAGGATGGCACGGAGACAGTGACAGGGTGACAGACTAATGGTAATAGAGCAAAAGGGTAACAGAGAGACAGAGAGAATGACAGGGTGACAGGGTGTGGTCTGGCCATGGGCAGATGCCAGCCAGGACATAGGTGAGGGAGGATAAAAAGGCCAGAGCCAGAGGCGTAGGTGTGGACACACCTGGCCAGTCATTTCATGGTGAGCGCTGCCACCTGAGGGCCCTGGCGCAGGAGCCACAGAGATTGGTGGATGGAAATGTGTCCCTGGACCCGGGGCCTGCGGTAGGCTCTTAGAGCCTGCCCATCTCCAATACAGGTCATTCATATCCCAATCGTTCACGTTGAAGCTTAGATCTTTCCCCTAGTCATCCACCACCTATCCACCCATCCACCTACCTACCACCTGCCCATCCATTAGCCACTCACCACCTTACACCCACCCATCCATTTGTATACCACCCACCCATCTACCCACCCACACATTATCCGTCCCCCCATGTCATCCCCCAATGTCATCCATTCACTCACCAACCCACACACCATCCATCTACTCACCTAAATGCCATCCATCCACCAACCCACACGTCATTCAGCCCCCAAGTCATCATCCACCCACAAACCAACCATCCACCCTTTCACATGTCATCCACCCACCCACCCACAGACCCACTGCACCACCCGTTATCACCAATCTATCCATCTCTGCCACTGAATGACTGCTCTGTGACTTTAGGCAAATAATTTCCTTCCTCTGAACCAAAGTTTCCTCTTGAGCCAGGATCCTAACGTCAACATCAGAGATTTCTCTGAGGGTGGGCAGCACGTGTGTTCACTCCCCCCGCCCACCCCCATTGATGTGTCCTCAATAAATAAGGCGGTTCCATATGGATGAGGCACGGTTGGAGCCCGTCTTGAGATCCCACCCTCTGCGTCTCTCCCCCAGGGGTTCAAGCAAGCTCGCCACACCTCTGGGTTATCAGTGAAGTAGTCATGGATGGTTTCCAGCACCAGGTTAGGGGAACAGTGGGCCATGCTCTTGATCTTCTTGATGATGTACTTGAGGCGGACTGGGTCTGAGTTGTTCAGGTCCCGGAGCATCTTGAAGCAGATGGCTAAGGCAGACGGCAGGAAGGGGTGGGTGTGGATGGATTGTGGGAAGGTCCTCACAGTGGCAGCAGGGTGAGGAGGCAGGGAAGGGGTTGTGTGAGAATGGGAGGAAGTACCCGAAGGTGAGGATGGGAGAATGAAACCCACTGGGATGTTCAGGGCCTCTGAACTCTCCACACAGATGGGACAGGGAGTCCGGGTATGAGCTTTCTGGGAACCCCGGTCACCCATAATATTCACACCTATTCATTCACTTCGTCTCTTTATCCTCCCACCTTCCATTCATACCATCCATCTATCCTTTGATCCATTACTATCTACCCACACTGCTCATCCATGTCTGTCTGTCCATCAGAAAAGTTATCCAAGTCATTCATTAATAAACGCAAACATTTACCCATAGAGCTCCCATCCGCTCATAAATATACCCATTCATTCTCTGTCCATTCCTCCTTCCACCTACCCGTCATATCATAAATCCATCTAGGCTTCCACTTATCCATGATCAACCCATCCTTCCATCCATGAATGATAAATTTATCCATTCCCTCATTTACCCACCATCCATCCACCAAATCATAAGTTCATCTATTCATCCGTCAATCCTTCCACCCATCAGATCATAACTTCATCCATTCAACCAACTTACCCACCATCTATCCTGCTAGGAATCATAAATTCATCTATGCACCCATTTATCCATGTTTCATCATCCAATAATAAATTCACTCATTTACCATCCATCCATCCATCCATCCATCCACAGAACTGATCTACATGTCCATCCACTTATCCTCCATCCCACCACCACCCAGCCAGCCAGCCAGCCAGCCACCCTCAGTGCTGTCCCTCCTGCGTGGTGAGTGAGCCTGCGACCCACCTCCCCTGTGGCAGGGTCCAAAACAGGGGGCAGTTATGTGCGGTCCTGCGGCCCCCAGGGAGGAGGGCCAGACTGAAGGGCCCTCTGTGCATGCCGCACGCACCTGCGTTGTAGGCGTCCTCCATGAACATACGGTGCTCCCGCGGGGCGGCGGCGGCCAGGCTGCTCCGGGTCCTACACAGCATGATGGTGCTGGGCTGCTGCTTCCCGCCCCCACAGGCACGCGGCTTCAGGCCCGACATGCTCGTTGAGGGTTTGGAGATGTGGGAGGGGATGCTAAGTGGAGAAGGGGCCAGGGCTGAGTGCAGGCAGGGCTGCGTGTGCCGTACTTGACATGCCATCTCTGGTAGGTGTCCCTAGGCCTCAGTCCTCCCGGATCCCTGCTTGCTCTGTGGACTGGCACCGTCCGGGGTGGACAGCAGGGGCACTGCTGGGGAGGCAGCCTGACAGGGAGCTCAGGCCGGTGTCTGGGAGTGCTGGTGAGGTTGCCATGGCCGGCAGGGCCTGGCCCAGCTTGGCCCAAGAACTAGCTGTCACTTGACCTGCAGAAGCTCGTCTTCTCTGGACCTCGCGGGGCTGCCGGCCACCCCAACATCACTTGTGCAGGGCTCAGGCAGTTCCAGAGACAAGGGAGCTTGGGGAAGTGCCCGGAGGTGCTTCAGCACGCGCACCCTGCCCGCCCCCCCCCCCCCCCCCGTGTCAGGCTCTCCCCGACTGGCACGGCTGTAGGGTGGAGACAGTTACGGCCCCCCCCCCCCCCCCCCGAGCTGGCATCATCTCTCTCCCTCTCCTGTTCTTTCCCCACACGGCAGCCACAGCGGTAGGGTCAGGGAAGGAGGCACCTTTTGATCTGGGGGGTGTCTTAGCCTGGCTCTCCCCACCACTGCCCACAGTGCCCACGTGTGCTTCCTGCTCCCCTACCCACATCATGCCTGCCATGAGTGAGCCCTGTGCCGGATAGGGGTCCTGCCATGAGTGAGATGCCAGCACAAATGCCTGGCAGCTTGATGGGGCTGCACGGTGGCGGCAGCGGCTTCCTCTCCCACCGCCCATCCATCCACGAGGGCACTGAACTGGAGGTCACCCTGAAAGCTACCGCGGAAGTTGGAATTCAAGGACCAGACTCACCTGTCCCACACTGTCCTCCTGTTGTTCATCACTTTGCTCGAGCGGGCCCAGTAACGTCTCTATTGTGAGACTTGCTGTTACTGTGTTTGGCATATTGAATACGTCATGGGGAGCTCGCCAGGCTTTGCTGTGCGGGCGTGATACTCTCGGTAGCTGGCCAGGCTCTCCGAGAGGGCTCGGCCAAGCTGGCTGCGTGCAAGGCAAATGCCCTACCGCTGTGCCATCGCGCCACCCCCCCCACACACACACACAACTTGGAAACTGGGAATGCGTGCGAACGCACAAGTCCCAGATGTGGGGGTCGCCCTGGATTGACCCCTGAGCCCTGGAAGCAAGCAAAGCTGTCCCGAGCCTCCACGGTGACCTCAGGAAGGTTTCCAAGGGCCAAGTGGGGAGAGGTAACCCCTAAAAGCCTAGTGGACTCCCAGTGGACTAAGGAAGCAGAGGCAGGTGTGGGGAAGACCAAGTGCCTGGGATTCTCTGGGGAGGGAGTAGGAGGAGCTGCAGGGGAGGGGCTGTGGCCGGTGGGATCTGTGCTGTCCTCCTGAGGTGCCACCAGAACTGTGACCCATGCAGAGGGGACAGAGCACCTCAGGGAGCAGGAGGAGCAATTCTTGGGGGACACATACTGGAATAACTGCTTCACAGCTGGGGTGAAAGTTTCGGATTCCTACGGCATTGAACAAGGATGAACACTCCAAATGCGGCATGTCGGCAGCAGGACGGGTAGCCAGTCCACATGTGGTCTAGCCCAGACAGTTCCCAGCCTCCAAACCACGCTGAAAGAGCCACACTTTTTTGAGAACAATTTCACTGTGTCCCAGAACAAAGCTCAAGAATTTCTAAAAAGTACAGGCCTACCCAGTACTCTGTAAAAGTCACAATACCCGGCTTCTACCACAACATGACCAGACGAGCAAATCGGCCAGAAAATATGATTCCTAACGAGGAGGAAAAAACTCTTGATTGATCAAAAGTTCAGATCGCAAGGGCACCAACGCAATGCTCAAGCTAAGAGACAGGGCCATTGGGAGGCGCTCGTTATCTTCCATCTGTTCACCATGGCAGACGAAACAGGAGCATGACAGGAGGGGCACAGAGGAAAGGGGGCCCATGACATTTGAGCCCAGAGCCTGCAGGTGAAGCTGAGCGCAGAGGAAACGCCGTGGAGGCAACAAGCAGTGAGTTGGACCAGGTGGTGAGAAAACGGCTCAAACCTGAGACTCAAACAGGAGACCCGGGGGGTGGCATGGAGCCTCAGCGGGCTCGTGGCGGCTTCGAGGGCACCGTAGGAGGAGAAAGGGACGCGGGAAACCCCAAGAAGAACAGTCTCCCTCCAGCAGTGGAAGCGGACAGCCGCAGACCCCAGGGGCCCCGAGAACACCCAGAGAAGAGCCCCGGAGGCAACATGTCATGTGGAAATAAAATGGTGTCAGACAATGTTGGAGACTTTGGTGGCCGGGAGTAATGGGGGTGTCCGATGGATGATTGTGCTTATTTTTTGAATGAAAAATATAATTGTGAAAACAATGAGAGCAATATCCTATGGCTTGCGAGGTCCCAACCCCCAAACCAACTTACCAAAGCCCGAGCCATGAGGTCTTTTTTTTTTTTTGGCTTTTTGGGTCACACCTGGCGATGCACAGGGGTTCCTCCTGGCTCTGCACTCAGGAATTACCCCTGGCGGTGCTCAGGGGACCTATGGGATTCTGGGAATCGAACTCGGGTTGGCTGCATGCAAGGCAAACTCCCTACCTGCTGTGCTATTGCTCCAGCCCCCATGAGAAGGTCTTAAGGGTCAGCAAAGCCCCTCACTCCTGAAGGTCTGGGGGAGGTAGTTCAGAGTCGCTGATCTGGGCAACCCTTTTATCTTGTAGGGCCCCAGGGGTGCTGAGGGCACCACTGGGCCACTGTGGAAGGGGATCCTGGCAGTGACAGTTTGGGGCTTGGGGCCACCAGCACCACACCCAGGGGTACTGGGGGGCATGTGGAGGAGGGGACAGAACTCAGGGACTTGTGCAGACTAGGAAGGTGTTTAACTACTAGGGTTGTCCCCTTGGCCCCTGCTGCAACTTTTTAAAACATTGAAAGGAAAAAAACATGCGGTCCAGCTCAGGTGGGGGTGGGTGGGGAGGACAAGTAGCAGTTTCCTGGGGAGGGGAGAAGCCAGTGGCAGGTCTGCTTGGTGAGGTGGGTGCAACCGTGACTGCAACCCCCACAGGAATAAGGACCTGAGCAGGGGTCCAGATGTGGACGCGGTGGCTACAGAGTGCCGCAGTGACGCTTCAAGTTGAGAGTGACAGATCGTGCAGTCGAGCTTGTTAACACCACACGCAGCTAGAACCCGAGGCAAAGCATCAAGGCCAACGAGCGAGAAACCGAGTTGGGCAGAGCAGGGAGCCGAGAGGAGGAACGTTTGCCGACTGCAGGCCCCCTGGGCCCCCCAAAGACCAGACACCAGAGAGACAAATCCCAAACCAACAAACTGATAATGGCCATGAAGTAGAACGATCAAGAGCTCTGCATGATGGGAGAGGAGTGGAACTGCCGGTCAGCGGGAGATGAGACTGAGAGAGAGAGAGAGTCGGAGAGACGCCAGGCCAGGCAGTATCCTGCCACGGGTCACAGGCCGGGAAACGGCCAGGCGTCCACGACAGAGGCTGCCATGACGAAAAGTGTCAGACCAAGTAAATGCCACCTATCGCAAACAGACTTAAAATATAGTAAAGACAAAACAATGGGGATGTGGGGCAGGGGGGTGATCTACCATACTGACTGTCACTGTCCTCCCATTGTTCATCGATTTGCTCAAGCAGGCCCAGTAACGTCTCCGTTGTGAGACTTGTTACTGTGTTTGGCATATCGAATACGTCACGGGGAGCTTGCCAGGCTTTGCCGTGCAGGCGAGATACTCTCGGCAACTTGCCGGGCTCTCCGAGAGGGGCGGAGGAATCAAACTCAGGTGGGCCACATTGCAAGGCAAACGCCCTACCCACTGTGCTATCGCTCCAGCCCACCATACTGACATACTCCGATAAAAGTCCAAGAGGCTACATTAATATCAGACAAAGCATATTTAATTCATTAGTTTTGGGGCCACACCCAGTGGTGCTCAGGGCTGACTCCTGACTCTGTGCTCAGGGGTCACTCCTGGCAGGCTCAGGGGACCATATGGGATGCTGGGGATGGAACCTGGGTCAGCCGCATTCAAGGCAAATGCCCTACCTTTTGTACTACCCTGTCACTAACACTGTCACTGTCCTCCCATTGTTCATCGATTTGCTCGAGAGGGCCCAGTAACATTGTGAGACTTGTTACTGTGTTTGGCATATCAAATACATCACGGGGAGCTTGCCAGGCTTTGCTGTGTGGGCGAGATACTCTCGGTAGCTTGCCAGGCTCTCCGAGAGAGGCAGAGGAATCGAACTCGGGTCGGACATGTTGGCGGCATGCAAGGCAAACGCTTTACCCACTGTGCTATCGCTCCAGCCCTTGTACTACCCAGCCGCACCAAATGCATTTCGGAATAAGTGATATAACCAAGAGAGAGTCAGTCCGTAGTGCCGTGTGAGTAACGTGAGTTGTGCTGGCCATTCTGTATGCACAGAAACCTGTGCATGGAGGTTTGAAGCATATCAGGGAAAACAAGAGCCTCAAATCAGTGACAAGAACTGGGAGGAAGGTGCAACTGCTCTCATGACCCAGGACAGACAGGCAGGAAGGGCAGAGAACACGCAGAGACCGTGGAGGCAGGGTGGCTGCTGACAGTGCCGTGATGCTCTTGCCTTACAACGAAAGGAGCACACAAGGGATAGTGCCAAGACAGAGCATATTCTGGGCTAGGAAAACACCAGTAAGTTAAAAGGATTTTTATTTATTTATTTTTTTATCAAAGAGACTCTGAATACTGTGAGATAAATTAAAAGCAAAGGTGGGCGAAGGAGTCCCACATAGTCGGAAACTAAATTACATTCTAAAGTAATTTGCAGACCAGAAAGGAATCCAGTGAGAAGGTAAAGAGTGTCTTGAACGGAATGAAATGAAAACACAACATAGAAAAACACATGCAGTGCAGCGAAAGCTGTGCCCAGAGGAAATTCATACATAGCATTAACATTAATTGTGATAAGAAAAAAAAAAGGTCTGAGATCAGTGACTTTATCTTTCATTATAAAAATTAGGAAAGGAAGGAAAAATCCAACTTGGGGAGAGGAAATAATAAAAAGTAGAGGAGTGTTAAATGAAATAGAGAACAAAAAATGAAATCCGAGTTGGTTCTTGTAAAATGAGAATATCTGGTAAACATCTAGTAGAACTTGTACAGCACAAATAGAGAAGATACAGTAATAGCACTGACGGGAGGAGGCGGTGCGGACGGGTCTGTGGCATTAGATAATAAACGGGTACTGTGTCAGAGTTATGCCCCCCCCAAAAAAAAGACAAAGAAATGGATATATCCTCAAAGTCAAAATACAAAAACTGGAGCAAAAGAGTTAAATACCAGGATGGCCACATTTCCATGATAAACATTACCTTTTTAGATAAAAACCTTAACACGCACACGTGTACACACGTGCACACACAGGCACACGCATGCGCGCGCGCACACACATGCACACACACAGGCACAGTCTTTAGACCTAGGTGGTGTGGCTTGGAACTCTACCAGGTCTTTGAGGAAGAAATAACACCAACAGAGCAAACTCCCAGAACACTGGCCCCTCATCCAGTGAGGCGAGCATCACCCCAAACCAAAACCATGCAGGGCTATTGCGAGCATCCTAGTAGAACCCAGCTGGGGAGGAACACTCAGGACCTGGGGGCTTGTCTGGGGAATAGCTCTGGCCAGACACGTGAGGACAGTCCGGGGAGAGAAGAGAAGAGAATCATCCAGTCAGCCACATGGATGCGAAGTGTGTGTGTGTTACAGGTCCAGCAGCCACTTGCAGTACTAAGAGGAATGAACTCTTGCAGCCAGTTAAGATGCGGGTGAGCCCGGAGACTTGGGGTGAAGGTGAAGTGGGTTCCCCAAGGCTTGGTCTCCGGGGGGCTCCCGGGCATGACTTAGGACTCACGGAGATTCTCCATCAACCGGGTCAAGGGCTAAGAGTCAGGGCCCAGTTCTCTCCCGTATACTCAAGCTGTATCTGCTGTGCTCAGCCCCCTGGGGCTGCCCTGGGGATGCTTGCGGGGCCTTGGCTACAGGGACCGCCTGGGGTCTGCCAGGGGCAAGACACGGACCCTAATCCTTGTACTTTCTCCCCCGTCTTGGCTGATTGATTTTGGATAAATGTGAAAAAACAATCCAAGAAACTCATCTCTTCCTCAGAAATGCCAAAGTTATTGGAAAACACGCAAAAAATAATCCCGACCGATGCCTTCTGCGGCCTACAAAGCCCAGGTCAAATGGTCCCCAGACGGGGAAGTCAGGACCCAAACCTCTGCATCCTCAGGTAAGGTAACAGGCAAATAAGTGCTCAGGCCGTGGAGGGGCGGCGCTGCGCCTGCATCAGGGCCTCCCCGTGGGAAGACTGTCCGCTTCCTGCTATGATGTGGCCCTCCCCCACCCCAGCATCACTGTGCGGGTCCCTGGTGGCTCCCAAGCCTTGGGCGCTGAGCAACTGGGCTCACACACCAAGAGAACACTTCGGGGTGACCGAGGGACCCCAGCGCTCTGAGGGGGATGCCACACGGGACAGAAACGCAGCTCCCAGAGATGAAGAAGAGCAGTGGCAGGATGGACACGTAGGGGGCTGGCTGCAAGGTTGGCCCCAGGGCAGAAGTGTTGGCACATCCGAGGTGCCGGGTCACCCCTGGGCCCCACGAGTTGAGCTGCAGACCTTTGGGGTATCTGCGAGCCCCCTGTCCGACAGAGACAGCCAGGAAGCCAAGAGTGTGGCAAGCCCGGCATTTCTTTGCCAGAGGACACTCGGCTGGCAGAGCCCACCAGACATGGTGTCATCCTGCAGGGCAGCAGCAGGGAATGGGGTGGGGTGGGGGGGTGGGTCCTGGGAACTGCCTCGGTGCTTCCCTGGCCCCCACCGTGCAGACCTGGAGTTCTGGGGGTGACTAAAGTCGTCCTCTCGGTCTCTGCGTGGCTCCTGGACACTTTCGGGCACTGCCCATCCAAGGTGGGGGGTGGGGGGGCAGGTCCAAAGGTGCCGCCGCCAGCTCTGTTCTCATGCCCAGTGGGCAGTCCTGTCCTGGCCTCCCCTCCCCCACCTGGGTGCTGCCCTTGACCCTGAGGTCACAATGGGCCCAGGGCCCCTGGCATCCTCAGCAGGGAGTGGGGCCTGGATTACGGGACCCTCCCGGCCTTCCAGAGCTGGCCCTCTTGGGGGCTGTGGCGTAGGGGGGCATCCTGTCCCAATCTCCGGGCAGTGCCTCAGTCTCCCCGCCTCCTATGAGGGCCATCATGAAGGAGCAGTGGCTGGAGGCTCTGCCTGGCACTGCGGGCCAGTCATGGCTGATGGGGAAAGTGGCCGGGTTGAGGGACTCCGGCCCAGGACAGCCTCTGTGGGGTCCCCCTGCCTGTGCCTGACTGGGGACTGAGGGCCGATCCCCTGCAGGCTGGGCGACCCCCACGGGGCGGGGGCTCCCTGCTCAGGCCTCAGTGGCCTAGGGTGGAGAGAGCAGGGTGCACGGGAGAGGGGGGTGTCCTCCCAGAGAGTTCCTGCTCCTCACTTCCCAGGCTCTGCCAGGGGAGTGGGATGGGCACCCCAGGGACTGCAGTGTCACACTGGAGCATTGGACACAAGGTCACCACAGGTGCCCGGGCTCTGGCCCTGCTGTCCCCCGCCCGGGAATGACCCACGATGCAGGGCAACCTGTGCTCCCCCCTTCCCCGGGGGCCATTTCCCAGGACCCCTGGAGAGGATGAAGCCCAGGGATAGTCAGAACCGCAGAGGTCACACAGCGGCCAGCAGCACAGCCAGGGTTGGGCCTCAGCCTCCCAAACCCGACCCTCCAACACCACGGAAGTCCCAGACCACCGTTCGGGGCTCCCACCGGTGGGTTCTGTGCGCTTCCCCGGAGTCGCCAGCAGGTGGCGCTGTGTCCCAGAGCACTGGCAACGTGGGTGGCAGGGGCCTCCCCTTCCCCCCACCCTGCCCCGCAGGCCTGGCTGCCACCATCTGGCACTGCTCGTGGGCCCGGAGCCCCTGGCACAGGATGGCCCCTACCAGACACCACTAACTGCCGCTCCGCAGGGCCCAGCCGCCACCCTGACCCTGCCATCCCCCTCCCCGCCCTGGCCGCGGTGTCCCCGAGCAGTGGCCCCCTCCCCATTGGGGGCTGCACACTGTGAGGATCCCCCACTCCACGCCCCTCCACACCTTCCTGCGCCGGGGCCCCACAGCCTTCCCTGACGGTGCCCGCCAAGGCACAGAGGTGTCCCTGCTTTACGGAGCCCTCCGCTGTCGCCTCCAGGGAGCACACCCTGATTTGCAGCTAGCAAGGCTGGGGGTGGGGGCTGAACCTTCCTTCCTAAGAGCCTCTCCTGGGGGGCGGGGTCTAACCACAGAGCCTGGTGCCCCTGCAGCCGGGCAGGGGGGTGGGTCTCTGCCCTGGGATGGGGAGGGGGAGCCAAGCTTCCTCCTGAGGTCTGAGGGTGCGGCAGGCCCCACCCCCACTGCCCGGGCTGTGCCTGCTTCCATCTCCTTGCAGAGAAGTGGGTCCCCCAGGGCCTAGCATCGCAGTGGACTTGGTGCTGCCCAAGGACACCTGCAGTGGTGCTGGGGCCGCCCGCCCTCTACACCCCCTCTAATCCTCTCTCAGAAAAAGCGGGTGAAAGAGGCACACGCAAGACGCCTTGCCTTCCACTTTCTGGAAATGAGATTTTAAAAATAACTCGGCAGTGCGCGGGAGGGGATTATGGGGTGGGGCGAGGCCCGCAGGAGCAGGTCCGGCTGGTCGCTCCCCCAAGTCCCTGCCCTTGCTGGGCCTCACGCCCAGGCCCGGGCCCCTTGGGGGGCTCTGCCCTGGTGTGATGGCAGGGGCTCTGCCCGCGTCCCCCGCCCTGGGCCCCATGCGCAGGCCAGGGACAGGCCAGTTTGGGGCTTCCTGAGCCCAGGCAGGTTTCAGGGCCCAGAGACACCATGTTCCCACATCGCTCAGGGAGAATGCCCCACACGCTCCCGGGCAGGGAAACTGAGGCCAGGACGGAGAAGCGGCTTGTCCAGCCCCCTCCCCCACCCCTTGATGCCTCTGAGGGTGGACTGGGAGCTGGCCCTCCCCTTGGGGTCAGTGCACAGGGTGGGAGCACCCCAGCGTGGGGGCGTCCCTTGGGGGAAATGGGGTCAGGATGCTGTCGCCGGACCCTGGGGTGTGTGGGCTCAGGTCAGCACCCGCTGCTGCCTGCAGAGGGTACAGCCGGGGCCACGCCACCCGCATCTCTGCCCCCACCAAACTTGGGTCTGCTTTGGGGGAGATGCCGGGCCTGCTGCTGGGAGGGGCAGGTCACAGCCCGGGCCGTTGCCCCGCCCCCACCCGGCCAAGCCCCGCCCATCTCTTGGCCCCGCCCCTGGGGGTGGAGTTCTCTTCCTCTGGACCTGATTGCCAGGGAAACAGGCCCGTGACCAGGGCAGCCATGGCCTCCCCCGGCTCCAGGGACCCCAGCCCGGCAGGTCAGTGGGGGAGCACCGAGGAAAAGAGTTGGTGGGAGGCGGGGTGCGAGTCCCGGAGAGATGGGCCCCTCCTCCCCTAGGCATCGGAGGTCGCTGGGCACAGGGGGCACAGGGCTGATTCCTCTTCCCTGGGACCCCTGAGCCAGACGCCCCTGAAGAAGGCGCCAGGCCAGGAACCGCCTTTCCCCGCTGTCACCCTCTGCGGGCACCCCGGGAATGCACAGGACCCCCTTCCCACTGCCCCCAGCTGCCCCCCCATGATCTGCCAGGGCCTCGGACTCGGCAGCCTCAAGCCAGAGGGACTGCCTGCCCTTCTGCCCGCCGGGCAACCCCCCCCAACTCCCTCCTCCAACTCCCCTGCATCTGAGTTCCGCAGAGACCGGAAGATGCAACCATATGAAGCCAATGCTTGCTCGGGGTCCGACTCTATCGCATGCCCTGCCAGCCACAGCCCTGCACGCCCTCCTAGCACAGCCCTGTATGCCCAGCTGGCAGCACATACCCCCAGCCGCAGCCCTGCACTCTCCTATCCCTGCCTCTCCTCTACGTGCCTGCCTGCAGACACACACCGGGCACTGCCCTCTCCACCCCTGCCTATTTGCTGAGGCCCCTCATTTCGCCCCTCCCTGACCCACAAATGTGCTGCCACTTCTCTTATCTCTGCATCTCACTTCTCCATGCCCTGGGATCCTGCCTACCTGCCCCAGGCCCTTCACACTTGCTGACTCCCCCTGCCTTGCCTCTGATCAGCTTTGCCATCCCCGCCCCACAGGGCTGCTCCCCGCTCCTGGGACGGGCCTCATGCGCCCCTGTGTGGCTCCATCAAGAGGCCCCTCCTCTCCCTTGCCATAGCCCTGGGGCTCACAAATGCCGTCCATGTCCCCATCTGGGCCGATGGGCCCTCAGAGGCACCCACTCACACTCAGCTAAAGGGGCCCCTTTTCTCAGCCGCTTGGGGGCTCCCTGGGCCTCCCTCTGCGGCCCTCCTGGGGCCTTTGGATGTGCGTGGACCTGAGTTGTCCTCTGCTCCTCCCATCCTGAGTAGGCCCATGGCCTCCACTGCCCTGAAACTTTCCTGGAGTCCGGCCACTGCAGGACCCTGCGGCTTTGGCCTGGCGCTGACCTGTGGCCCCTGGGAGGGAGGCCTGCAGGGAGGAGGTGTCCAGTGGGGAGGTGGGGGGGGGGCACCCGGAGCTGTCCATGGTACCAAGTGCTCTGGTCTCCCTGGCCGAGGTTGGAGAGCCACCCAGGGACGGACAGGCCCCTACAAACTCCATGGATGCTCAGGGCCATCCCAAGCCTGAGGGGGACATGGGGCCTGAGAGATCGGCGGTGCTGGCACTCTGCCCCCAGGGGGTGTCCACCAGGGCTGTCAGGCCCAACCCCAAGCCTGGCACCTAGCAGGGTCCTGGTGGGACCTGTGGGGGTGTGGGTGGGGATGGCGTGAGACGCCTGACAGTGGGGAGAGCTCACTCAGGGGCCTGAGGCAGCCCTGGTGTGGCCACTTCTGTCTCCTCACCCTGAGTCGCCTGGAGGGACTTGCTGGCAGTGGCCTGGGAAGTGGCCACCAGCAGACATATCAGCGCCTCTCCAGGCTGACCCTGACCTCCCGGGGGGGGGGGGGGGGCTGCCCATCGGGTCTGTGTCTGCAGCTGGCCTGTGGCCCGCCCGGAACAGGGCCCCCACCAGGCAGGCTGCCCTAGAGTGCCCCGTCTGTCACTCAGGGCACACGGAGGCACGGGTGCTGGGGACCTGTGTATGTGTGTGTGTTGTAGGGGGGGGTTCTGGTCCAGCGCCCGGTGCCCAGCAAAGTTCCTGGGGGCCCAGCTGGTGCTCAGTACAAGGCCTGTTTCTGGGGGGAGTGGCTGCTAGGGAGGCTCAGCCGGCCCCACACCCGGGCAGGGGCAGCGGACGACTGACCCGCTGTCCTCTGGGCCACGGGGCCTCTGGGCTGTGGGTGGCATCAGGAGCCCCGGGTGCTCACGTCCCCCGGGTGCCGCTTAGCGGGGCTCAAGTCACCGCGCCCCCCGGCCCGCAGGCCCCGCCGCGCCCCCCGAGCCCGCCTTCCCCGACATCTACGGCGGCGACGCGCAGCTGTGGGAGGCGCATTTCCGCGGCATCGGGCGCGCCTACCGCGCGCTGGGCAAGGACGACGACTTCGCCATCCGCGTGCTGACCGAGGACTTCACGCTGCCCTTCCCCTTCGCCTGGCCGCCCGGGCCCGACCCCGCGCGTGGCCCGCTCTTCTACGACCCGCACGACCGCGCGGGCTTCGACTTCCTGCTGCGGGGCCCGGGCGCTGCGCCCCCCGCGCTGCTGCGGCCCCTGCACGCCACGGCGCAGGCCGCCGTGCGCAAGCGGCGCCTGGAGCGCCTGGCGCGAAGCTACGCGCGCGCAGGGTCCGGGCACGGCCTCCTGCTGCTGCCCCCCGGCCCGCCCGCCCGCCCCGCGCCCCCCGAATAAAGCCCCGAGCCCGCCCGGAGACGCCTTGCCCGCTGCCACGCGCCCTGCGCCCTGCTGGGAGTCGGGGGTGGCCGCGGGTGGTAGGGCCCGGGCCGTGGCCGGCCTCGGGGGAGGGGCTGCACCCTCTGCACGTGCTGGGAGCCCACCGGGAGGGGTCCCCGAGACACAGACGCACTCCGATGGGGAGCAGAGGGGTCTCTACTTCTTTGGAGGGGTCCCGGAAACACAGGCACTGCTTCACTGGGGAGCAGAGGGGATCTCTACTTCCCTAGAGGGGGTCCCCGAGAAACAGGCGTGCTCCGATGGGGAGCAGAGGGATCTCTACTTCCTTGGAGGGGGTCCCGAGATACAGGCGCCATTCCGAAGGGGAGAACAGGGGTCCCCACCTCCCAGGAGGGGTCCCTGAGATACAGGCACGCTGATGGGGAGCAGAGGGGTCCTGGACATGTAGGGTGTGGGTTCGTGTCTCAAGTGGGACCGTGTCCCCCAGACTGGCTCCCCTGCTGGCTCTGGGGCAAGGGGGTGCCAGCTGTTCCCCAGCATCCTCCCCCAGAGCCGAGGGCTGCGCCCCTGGTTGGGGCCTGATCACCCCCAGCACCAGCCTCATTCACTGCATTCCACCCGCCTGGGTTCATCAGAGTCCAAAACCGCCACCTGCCCGGGGGGGGGGGGGGGGGGGGGGCAGCTGCTCCGAAGGGACAGGGTCGGCCACCTTTGAGACCTGCTTGGCTGCCCTGGAGTGGCCGCTTGGTCACAGAGCCCAGAGTGCATTTCCAGGACCCGTCCTAGACCTGGGACCTGCTGGGCATGTGTGGGGTCCCCCAGAGGTGGGATCTGAGAGCGGTGAGGAGATGCAACGGGAAGGGGCCCAGGTGGGGGGTCCCCAAGGCACCTCACGCTCCCTCCAGGGGTTCACCCACAACTTCTCAGGCAGCGTGTGACAACCCCACCAGCTCCCTGCCACCCCCACCCCTGCACAGTGCACGTGTTGGTAAGAAACTCCCGAGCACTTGGCCAGTGACCCCGTGGCCAGAGGGACCAAGAATCCCCGAGTTACCTGACAGAGAAGGAAACACGGCAAGAGTAAGGGTAAAGCAAGGTGACAGGCAGGATGCAGACGAAGGCAGAGTGCCGATCTTCCGGAGGGGCCCAGCATGGGGAGGAGGAGCTGATGACCCCCTCTGGCCCCGTTTCCTCGGGTCACTCCTTCCACCCCACTGCCTCATGGAGTCCTCACAGGGGCCCGAAGACATTGGAGAGGAATCTGGCCCCGAGAGGGATGGGGCCTGCGTGGGAACAGGACGCGGGTCCATGTCCCACACAGAGCAGGCCTCTCTGTGGCAGGACTTCAGGTAGAGTTTGATCCAGAAGTCTTGGGTGATGACTAGGTTGGTCAGTGTTTTCTTGAGCCCTTCCCGTGCCCTGGGCGTGGTTGACCTTAATAGTTGTGAGGATAAGACCAGGACCTAGCGGGCCCACAGTGGGCAGAGGAGCCTGGGGCCCATGGCCACCAGGAGGGGCATGCTAGGCCTGGCTGCATGGCTGTATTTCCCGCCACTTAGCAGCAGAGTTCCCAGGGAAGGCAGGTTCAGGCAGGGTCGATAATCTCATTTGTCCCCTGCGTGTCTGCTCAGTGGCATGTCGAGGTGGGAGAGTGGGTGTGTGCTAAGGAGCTGCCCATGACGCTTCCCTTCTCCCTGCCCGAGGAGGCCAGGCCTGTCCCTGTTTGTGTGACCACAGCGAGGGGCATACGCCTTGTTCTGCCTGCTCAGAAGCTCAGTGCTCATGGTGGTGTCCTCCAGGTGCCCATCAGCATGGTCCCGGGCCCTCGGCCTCTGCCCTCGGCCTCCCTGTCTTCTCATCTGCTGCCAGGCTAGAAGGCGGAAACGATGCTGCTGATGTTTCCTCGGGCTTGGGGGATACAGGCTGCCCTTGGCGAGTCGCCGCCTGGCCCGCTGCTCGGAATGATGCTGTTGTCTGCGCAGAGGCCTGGCCGGCTTGGGGCCCTAGCTCTCGGGGTGACTGACCGAGACCACCCTGGCTTTGGGAGACAGCCCACCTCTGCCTGCATTGGGCCTCCTGCACAGAGGGTCCCCCTGCCTGGTCCTCAGCTCCAGTGGGGTGGTTCTGGCGCCGCCTACTGGTGGCCCGGGGCATTGTCGCTCAAGCCCCTGGTCGCCCAAACTGGTGCCCACTGGCAGGATGCAAGGTGACTGCCTCCAGGGTCTGCCCAGGCCCTCAGCTGGGCCTCCACGGAGTCTAGGGGCCACTGCCCTGCCCAGGTCCTGGATCTGGCCTCCCCACCCTCCATGGGGGTCCTGCCTTCCATGGGGAGTCCCCATGAGCCTGGGAGTGGCCTCGCAGCTTCCCCAACCCTTCCTGGAAGTCCCCAGGCGGTGACCTTGCAGGACTCAGCCGCTGCCCAGGCGGGCGAAGGGGGTCTCCTCCTCTGGGGCCCAGCCAGAGCCAGGGCAGGAGTCTAGCACTGGCCCCGAGGCCGGTTCTTGGTCTCACCTGCAGCGTTCCCGCAAACATCACGGCCCTCCTGATGGGGCTGTTGGGAGTGGGCGGCCCCCTCCCTCGTCCCAGGGAGCTGGTTGCACCCCACACACTCGTGCCCTTGGGAGCTGGCTCCCCCCCCCCCCGTGCCCCTGGGAACTGGCTCCACCCTGCCTCCCCCGTGCCCCCGGGAGCTGGCTTCGAGGGGCAGTAAGGATGCTTAATTAATTGCAATTACAATCTTCAGAGGAAGCTGCGAGTTGAAAGTTGTTCCTAATTACTGTGTTATGATGTCGGCCGGCTCCCCAAATTGATCGCGTTGGAATTTTCGACAGAGGATTAATTGAGCCGCCGGAGGACCCACTGGATGTCCCTCCCCTGCTGATAGGCAGGGTCAGCCTGGCGAGGGGATGGCAGTCAGAGGGGGCACCCCTGCTTCCTAAAGGTGGAGAGCCACGGCCACGGCCACAGTCACAATCACAGTCACAGTTACAGCCACGGACATTGCCACACCCATAGTCACGGCCACAGTCACAGTCAGGGCCATAGTCACAGTCACGGCCATGGCCACAGTCACAGTCACAGTCAGGGCCACGGCCACAGTTACAGTCACAGCCACAGTCACAGTCACAGTCAGGGCCACGGCCACAGTTACAGTCACAGTCACAGTCATAGCCACAGCCACGTCCACAGTCACAGTCACGGCCACAGTCACAGTCACGGTCACAGCCACAGCCACAGTCACAGTCACAGTCACGGCCACAGTCACGGTCACAGTCATGGCCACAGCCACAGCCACAGCCACAGCTACAGTCACAGTCACGGCCATGACCACGGCCACAGTCACAGTCACAGTCAGGGCCACGGCCACAGTTACAGTCACAGCCACAGTCATAGCCACGGTCACAGCCATGGCCATGGTCACGGTCACAATTACAGTCATAGCCACAGTCATAGTCACGGCCACGACCACGGCCACAGTCATAGTCAGCATGGCCAAGGGTACAGCCACAGACACAGCCATGCCCGCACCTGGGCTGAGCGTCTTCTCTTGGACCTGCGGCTGGGCCGGGACTGGTCTGTGTGCTGAGGCCCCGTGACCCTGGCCGCAGGGGTGACATGGCCTGGCCAGAGCGCCCGTCCGGGGAGCCTCGCAGTGCCAGCAGCCCGTCGCGCGCACAGAGCCAGGTCACCTGGCCCACCATGTGTGTCTGTTCCTTTCCCGGCCGCATGGGACCCCATAGGCTGGTCTAAGCAGACATAGGGCAGCCCCATTGGCCAGAGCCGGATCCCCTGCCTGCCGCCTGGCCCTGCCACAGGCCGTGCAGATGCAGCCCTGTGCCTGGTTGAGAGGCTCCGAGCCTTGGTTTCCCCACCTGTGAGTTTCTGAGGAGAGAGAGAAGGAGGGAGGGTGCAGGCCTGTGCCACGGATGGGGCCCCGACATGGCCGAGGAGCAGCCCCTGGTTCTGTTGGGCATGGCGCCCCTGCGGTCAGCAGAGCAGCAGCTGCCTTGGGGCTGGGTGGGTGTGACCCTCAGCAGGCAGGCGAGCAGACCCCAGGCACCCCTCTCAGCGGCTTGGAGCGGGTCTTGGACAGAAAACAGGTCGAGGTGAGGGGGGCAGCCGGGAGAAGGGACCCAAGGCAGCAGTGGGGTGCGGGTGGGCCTGAGAGACCAGGCGTGGACCCAGGGGCTTGGCTGGCCACTGGCACTGGGGCGGGGAAGCCAGTCACTGGCCCCAGGATGCGGGGTCTGGTGCACAGAGCAGCAGCCTCATGTCTGTCTTGGGGACAGCGGCTGGTCAGGCCGGGCGGCGGGTGATGGAGAGCTGGGGGAGGGTTGGGGGCGGGAGGGCAGTGAGGACCCCAGGTGGCCGGTGCGGGCATCGGGCTCCAGGGCCTCAGTTCTCCGGGGAATGGGCCATGGGTGCTCCCCCCTAACACCGCGGGCTTCTCGGCGGGGCGCCCACCTGGCAGGAGGCCGGTTTCGGGGCTCAGGTCGGGCTGCTGCCAAGTGCTCCCCTGGCCCTTTAATTACGAAACGCTAACGAGCCCTGAAATTCAATTAAGAACAGGCGCCAGCGACTCCCGAGCCGGGCCGGGCGGGCGTCGAGCTGTTGCTGTAGAGGTGTCTGGGGAGAAGCATGGCAGTGAAGGGCAGAGCGTGCCTGACACACCCCCGTTCTGGTGGGGAAACTGAGGCACGGCCCATGACAGGCCGAGGGCCCTGGCAGACCGTGGGCTTCCCTGCGCTGAGACACTGGCCCCCTGCCCCCGTCCGGTGTGGCGTGGGGGTTGGGCACAGCCGCCCACGCAGGACCTGGGTGCCGATTCTCCAGGCGGCAGTAGGGGAGGGAGACCCCCGCTCAGCCCTGACCCCAGCCAGCCTGGAGCTGGGCCAGAGCCCGGACCAAGTGCCAAGGAGCTCCCGCCCCCCTGAAACGCACTTTGTTGGGAATCCATGAATATGCGATTGTGAATCTGTGGCCCACCTCCCCGGCTTCTCGGCTGCGCATTAATCACCGCTAATTGCCGCCAGCCTTCGCGTCAAGAGCCTTTATTCCCGGGCAGGAGGGGGCTGAGGGATGCTCCTTTCAGGAACCCCGGCTCCGCCACCCGCCTCCAGGGGCTCGAGGCCACATGACAGGTGTGTGTGTGTGTGTGTGTGTGTGTGTGTGTGTGTGTGTGTGTGTGATTGGGGGGGGGACAGAGGCCTTGGCCCAGTAGTCAGGGAACATCCGAAGCGCACCCGTCACCTTCACGCCTCTCCCGAGCTGTTGTGAGTTTCCTTGAAACCGAGGCGCTTTTTTCTCTTTCCTTTTTTTGGCAACAACAGCTGGGAATAAGTTGACACTTTCTAAAAACTGCTACTTAGGCCTGTGAAGGGGGTGGGGTGGTGGGGGGGGACCCCCGCCCTCTGGTGCCAGCTCACAGCGCTCATTCTGGCCCGGGTCCGAGGGCATCTGCCGTGGAGAGGGAGGTGTCAGTGGGGGCCTTGGAGGGGCTCAGTGTGGGGTCCCCAGGGTGAGGGCAGAGAGGGCTGGTGTGCTCCTGGCATGGCCCTGTCCTGGGTCAGTGGGTAACTGGTCATGTAAGCTGGCACACACATCAACACATGTATGTAACCCTACACACCAGCAGACACATCAGAATACAGATCCATCAGCACATGTAAGGTTCAGCATGTATAAGCCAACACACACATCAGCACACATATCAAACTGTGCCGTCTGACCAGCTTGTGACCAGCACAGATCTACACACACACACACACACACACACACACACGGGCTGAGCCTCCCCCCGTTGGATCTAGTGTCCCAGCTGCACACAAAGGAGTAGATGAGCCGGTGGGGCAGCGGTGGCAGGTGTGCAATGACCCACCCACTGTACATGTGTGCAGATGGGCCTCTGCATGTGTGCTAGTGTGTAGGCTGGTCTGTGAGAACCTGTGTGCTAGCATGCAGCACAGGCGAGCTAGTGTGTGGGCTTGTCTGTGTGAGCACATTCATATGCTAGTGTGTAAGGTGGTCTATGTGGTCACACACGTGTGCTAGTGTGAGGTTAGTCAGCATATGTACCACCGTGCTTGTGGGCTGCTCTCTCTTCACATGTGTGTGCAAGCGTGCACACCAGCCTGTGTATGCTTTCTGTATGCACACACCAGTGTGCCGACTATCCCGTGTGTGCTGTCTGCATGCACATGTGTGTGCAAGTGTGCAGACTGGTCTTTGTGTGTGTTCTCTGCATGCACATGCATGTTGGAGTGTGCAGACCATTCCGTGTGTGCTCTCCGCACATGTGTGTTTGAGTATGTTGACTGGCCCATGTGTGCTCTCTGCGTCCACATGCATGTTTGAGTATGTTGATCAGCCCATGTGTGCTCTTTGCGTGCACATGTGTGTTTGAGTGTGCAGGCCGGGTCGTGTGTGCTCTCTGCATGCTCACACAGCGCATAGGGCAGTGCAAATGCCCCTGAGCTCCCGTCAGTGGTCAGGGATGTGGGATTTTAGGCCCTTTGCTGGTGAGGAAACTGAGGCTGAGATTCAGGTGGGCCACTCTGAGGAGACGGTCTGGCTTCGCATGTGGTCTTGGCCTCTCCTGGCCCAGGGAAGGCTGCACCGCCCACCCCGCCTTCCCCATGGCTCCCCCTCCCTGGCTGTGGCCTCTGGGTCCTGCCACTCGCCTGGGCTCACAGCAGGGGCCTCGCATCTCCCTCCACTGCACCGCCAGTCACAGATGGTCTCCTGATGGTAGTGCCTCACATGCACCCCTCCTCCGAGAAGCCTTCCTGGATCTGCCAAGCCCAGCTGGGGTCTCGGGGCCTGTTCCTGAGGCTCCTGTCTCTGAGCAGCTGCCCTTCCTGTACTGTCTGCCCTGTGCGGAGCTCGCTTGCCTGCGGCTTGGGCCCGTGGCTCCTTAACTGGGAAGGGAGAGCTGAGGCCCAGTGGCCATGTGGGACTGCCCCATCCATGCTGGACATCACTGCGGGGGCAGTCAGCCTTCGGTTGTGGCTGGCTGCAGGGTCCTGGCTGCGCTGTCACCTGACGGGGTTTTAGTGAGGTGGCGGCTGAGCCGGGAGCGCGGCTGATGGTGGCCTTCCCTCGGTGGGTGCTCAGCCCTGGCCTGGGGCATGTGGGGGTCTCCCCAGGGGCAGAGGCTGTGACTGGGACAGGGCGCACCCTCACTTGGTCCTGCCTGGGCCCCTCGGAAGGCTGCAGTCACCCTGGCCCCTTGCTGGGGAACTGCAGCCAGCCAGGAGCGGGGCGTTGCTCGGGGCCTGTGACTTCTGCCAGCCCAGCCAGGCCTCACCATCCTTCCCCTTTTCCAGGGACTTGGGGATGCAG